CAAGGCAATGTGATGTATAAATATTCCATTTCCAGATCAAGAAATTGAGACTCAGGATGTTGCATAACTTGTGCACTATCACAGTTTGTCATTTGGATCTTGCACACCTGATTCCAGAATCTATCCCTATTTTTCTACATCCCTCTGCCTCTTGGTTTGTGGGTGGTTAAACGAGGGCTTTGGGTTTGTGGGCATGGAAATGGCAGAGAATGAAAGGTACATGTGGATTTGGGCAGTAAAGAAGAAAAACCATATTCTGGTTTTTAATAGGAGCCCCATGTCTCCCTGGTGCTGTGGGACATGATAAGCTTTGCTGAGGTCCACCTCAACAGCTGAGTGTGATGGCCAATTCTGGCACATACTGTGGGGAGAGAAGCCTATGGTGTGCTGGGGTCCCCGACCTCAGTGCCACCCTGCAGGCAGCCCAACGAGTTAGCCTGGCTGGCTCCAATGGGCACAGCTGCTCATGCTCCAGCCAACCCAACCTCAGCATAAGTTGGGTTTGGACACAAAGGCCAGGGTTTCTGTTTTGAATGCTGTGCCAGAATGTAAAATGGACCAATCAGGTTTGAGCTCCTACTGTTGCTATTCAAGATTTTGAGACCATTCAGGAATTATAAACAGGCCAATCAGATTTGAGCTCAACTGGGACCAATCAAATGTTTGAAATGGAGCTGAAATTGTAAATAGGCCAATCAGGCTTGAAAGACAAATGCAGTATAATCCAAGGTTTCAGAGGGCTTTGCACAACTTCGTCTGGACTCAGACCTTTTCAGGTCTTTGAGCCTCCTTAGGTCTCTGAGATCTTTGCATATGGTCTCTGCCTTAAACTGCAGCCTGACTGCTGCTCCTGCCTCTGACATTGCCTGCTGACTGGCACTATCGACCATGCCCAGTATCTCTGAGATAGTTTTACACTGATGCCTGGCCCTCTAACCAGTGACTGGCACTGTTGGTCTGTGTCTGGCCATCTCTAAAGAGCTATCCTTTTGTTCGGATCCTCCAGTACCACCTCCTGGTGCTGTTGCCTCTGCTGCTGTCTGGTTTGCTTTCTGGATAGGTGCTGCTGGTGCTGAGGTGCCATCTCAGCAGCACCACCTGTGATCACCTCCAACTGCAACTATGAGTTAGATGCTAGTCCACCGCTTATCAGTGTGTAAGCTCTCATCAAAGGGACATGCCATCTTGCATGAGCAGCCTTTAATTTGGCTTACTGGACACTGTGGGCACTATCTGGAGTAGGACAACTGGCTATTTGTGGCCCTAGAAACTCTTTCCTTTTCCCTAATTTCCCTTTGTATGTAAACCCCATTGTTGGTATACCCTGAACCTGAGTGGTTTCTTGCAGTTGTAAGTGCATGGGTGAAGATCCATAACCCTGACATCCCCTAGCATTTGCACTACATTCATTTAGTCAGTTAGCACTTTTATTGAATATTCTCTGTGCATTTAATCCTCTGCAAAATATAATCCTATGAAAAATACATACAAGAAGGTGATAAACATACAATGTGAATTAAAAAACTGTTTACATCTTCCATATAATGTTGAATGGTAGTGTCACCAGTGTGGTTATAGTTTGGGTAGTTGAAACTGTCTTTATTTTATGTCTCAAACCAAAAGCATTTGAAGGTGGTTTCAAAAAATATGAGCAAATTTTCTTCTCTTGTTCTATGTCCCATGAAACTGATTTATCAGATGGGGTTCTGCAAATATTGGGTTCACAGATCAAGGGGTGACTGACTCTTGTGTGCCCAGTTTGCAGCTGGAAATCATGCTTTGGCAAGAATATGAGTAATTTATATCTTGTAGAAAAAGAAAAATATTATCTTATTCCAACCAGATAGTTTGTTAGCATAACTGTGTGCATTTTAGTATTCAAATACAGATGTTCCAAAATGTTTCTACTGTGGGAAGCAGCTGCTGCTATTCTAGCACAGAAATCTCAAAGAGATTAATATACAAAGGCAGCGTGAACTTTAGTGGCAAATGCAGCATCTGCTTGAGGTGGGGCCTATGATTCCCCGTAGATAGTGGATCTTCAGATTCTCGCTAATAGCCTGAAACCATGTTTCAGATCTCAGCTTATTCTGCAGGAACAGGAACAAAGACAAGTGATTAATATGTAATTCACTTAACTGATAAATATCATCACATGTTATTTGCCCAGGGACTGTAAAACACTGGACTTCATTTCCTGTGACAACTGATAGGAATATAGTTGTTTGGTCATAATTACTGATGTTTTCAGTTGTTGTTACTAGCTTCTGCTTGGTAACAGAGCTCAGCCCAGCCAGCTTGCAATCCTGAAACATCCATTGACATCTTAGTAATGTATTTGCAAGAACTTGACGGTTTACTCAGGACACTCACAGGCACTGTTTCATCTGGCCCCCTCCTAGTCCGGGAAGCATGCACACTATTATTGTACAGCAGAATTTGTGAATTAAAAAAAAAATGGGTGAAGAAATAAAATGACTTATCAGAGTTATAATCAGGGACTCTTACTCTAAATCCTGTTCTAATATCAAGTTGATGCTTGCATTTTATAGTCCATGAGGTGTGTTCCAGAAATTGCATCAAATTTTCAAGAGATGTTGGTGTCCAGGACACCCACCATGAAGAATTCTGGCTTGATAGTACTGCCAGGGAAGAGCTAATGCAGTCATTCCCTCTTTCCCTCAAGCCCCAGAAGGGAAATGCCCAGATATTCCCTTTCCTTATGTGCACAGAGCTTCAGCAAATGAGCTCCTGCGTCTCCCTGGCATTTAGAGAAATGAAGAGCCAGAAGCAGAAGATCCCAGGGCTGTCGTTTGCAGTTGCCATAAACCATAAGTTTCTAGGAACAGTGATGCTTGGGGTGTTGCGCTTGCCCCAGGCCTTATAAATCCATCCCCCTGCAGTGTTCAAGAGCTCATTGTCTCCAACCAAAGCCACTGTTTGGCATTATCTAGTGAATTATTTATGGTTTGCACATTTGACAGGGGCTCATGGCTGAGTTTGAAAACAGTCCCTGACTTACTGCTGGGGCCTGGAAATGTCTGTCTGGAGTACCAAGTCTCAGAGAAGTGTAGTTGCTAAAGTTCCCAGAGCTAGTAAAGGGAAGTGCAGTTTTGAGCCAAGTATGAGTTACACTAGCTCCAAAATGAAAGAACCATTTTGTTCTGAAGACAGTAAAGATTTGTGGCAGGAGGATTTGTTGATGATGTCTTGCTTCCTAGCCAGGCTTGGGTAGAGAAGAGCCCAGAGTGAAGTAGGGAGGGCCAACTACAGCAGTAGAGGAGAGAGGCTGAATACGCAGGCCTCTAACTGATGAGGAAAAGGAGATTGTTAAGTTGGGGGAGGGGAGTTGTGGGCAGCAGAAAGACCTGACATGGAGAGCCTCCTGAAGTGGGATGCTGATGCCAACTTGTGTCCAAGTGACATGGTCTTTGGTGACATCATTGCTGCTTCTGCCAGAATCACACTCTACAGCACTGTGTATTTTATGGAATTGTTTCTACTCTCCTCCACTTGGGCAAAACAAAATTTCTAAGTATTTATTTCCTCTCTATTTTCCTAAATCTTTTTGTTAGAACATCTGTGAAATGATAAAAGCAACTTAAAACAATATGGAACACAATTTGCAAGCATCATAAAGATGGTCAGTGTTTCAGGCATTTTGATCAAGAATGCTATTTCACAGGCAAAGAAATAGGATAGCAAATCACTCACATCTATAAAATATTAATGAAAGTGTTCTGAAGTGTGTGTAGAATACAATCTCACAAAGAAATGTCTTTACTCCAGATAGGACAACATTCATTCCCTCATTGTTATTCTCTAGCCAGAGGCCCTCCTGAAGATCACTTGTCTACTTGTGACAAAGCACACCCTTTGTTCTGCCAGGATCATGTGTTCATGTTTGGAGGGGAATCATCATGCCTTCTAGCTGCAGCACAGTATGAAGGAGGTGAGGGTAGGGAAGCCTCCAACTTTTAGGATTAAAAGGGGGGGGGCAGAAAAAGCCCAGGATAACTTCCCTTTTATGTCTCTACAAAGGAGTTAGAAACTGAAGACTAGCAGTTAAGACTCTATGCCCTTGGTAGATCTCCTTTCTTAATTTTGTTGTCACTAAATGGTTCATAATAGAGTGAAATATTTCAGAGTTACTATCATTAAAACTTTAAAAGGGTTTGTATGCTTTTTCTTTAGAAAAGAAATGAATAAGTGGTAAGCAGTGAGGGGACTAGGAAGAGAGCATTTTTCTATACAGGGGGTCAGAAGAACTAGGCAAGAAAAACAAAGATGAATGAACCAGTGTGGACCTGCAAAGGGGCAGTGAGGCCCAATGGAGACTATCCTGTTCAGAGGTTTAGGTTGTCACCCTCTGTTTTTCTCTGGAGATCAGCCCACCACAGTAACTATTACTTATGAAGTCACATTGAGAAAACAAAAATAAGAGAAGAGGAAACTCCATTGAGTCCTGAGTCACAAAGTTATCTATCATCATTCTAAACATCTCCCTTGCCATTAATATCCATTTACCTTGGGAGAAGACAGGACTAGGGAAATGCCCAGAAGTGCAAAGATCCAAGCATGGATTTCTCCTATGTGTTGCCTATGCTGTAATAGGTGGAGTAATTAATTTTGGTTTTCTTCAACATTTCCTTCTACTACAAATGTTAATAGCTATCAACAGATAATATTCATAATATTAGAAATGTCAGTAAGTTCATATGATGAAGGTTATATAGAATACAGCCTGTTTTAATGAGATTAGGTGTTGAAAAATGCTGATTAAATTACTGTTGCCTCTCTTGCTCGCTCTCTTTTTTTAAAGGAGCTTTCTGTTTGGATGTGTTCTTTTTCAGTTCAGCATAGATCTGTGAAACACTGATAGAAACAACACTGGGACCTGGATTGCCTAGTTACAGCAACACTAACATTTTATCTGCAGAAACAAACTAAAGCCATTTTCTCATGTGCTTTCATTTCTCTGCCTTATCCTTTTTCTCCAGGCAGCTTCATCAGCCCTGAGTAGTCTGGGCCATGTGTACACAGCCATTGGAGACTACCCCAATGCACTGGCCAGTCATAAACAGTGTGTTCTTCTTGCCAAGCAATCCAAAGATGAACTTTCCGAAGCCCGAGAACTCGGCAACATGGGAGCTGTGTATATTGCCATGGGTGACTTTGAAAATGCTGTGCAGTGCCATGAGCAGCATCTGAAGATAGCCAAGGACCTGGGGAACAAACGAGAAGAGGCTCGGGCCTACAGCAACCTGGGCAGCGCATATCACTACAGGAGGAACTTTGATAAGGCCATGTCTTACCACAACTATGTGCTAGAGCTGGCACAGGAGTTAATGGAGAAGGCCATTGAGATGCGGGCCTATGCTGGCCTGGGCCATGCTGCCAGGTGCATGCAGGATCTGGAGAGGGCTAAACAGTACCATGAGCAGCAGTTGGGCATTGCCGAGGATCTCAAGGACCGGGCTGCAGAAGGGCGAGCATCCTCCAATCTGGGTAAGGATAGAGTTGTTTGCAGGGTCCAGGGTGGATGTCATGGGCTGGAAATAGTTGGAGTAGCTCACTATCTTTTACAGGAATCTGTGTGTTTAGATTCAGAGAATCTCCTCATAGTATGTGTTGTATATTTCCTTCAGATATATTTCCTTGGCATCTGCCTGCTCTAAATCACATGATCCTTACTGTCATCACAGTGCTATAAAGATTAGAACTTTGAAATACTAGAGAAAAAAAACACCCCAACCTTTTAATCTGTCTAGCAAGAAGAACAACCAGATTTATCTAATTAGAGAGAAGGGAGATGAAATAAGGATATAAAGCTATGTTTGGCTTAAATTAAAGAGAAGCTGCTAGGAAGCCATCAATGGAAAGGAATTTGAGAGGATTTTTATTTAAAGGGATTTCTTTACTTGGTGACTTTAACCCCACAGGAAGTATATTTTCTCTTTAAAAGTATGTGTATTCACAAGTGATAGTGGAAGTTGTAGTAAAAATTTAGCAAATAAGTTTTAGCAAAATTATTTTTTAAAAGATCTGTTTAAATAAGACATTTGGAGTCCTTGTTTTGATAGTACTTGGTTACAATTAAGATACTTATAAGTTTAGGGGGATTTACATATAATCGTAAGAGGCAGTAAGTATTAGTAACTGGCTGCCTTTTACAAGATACTTTTATCTTGTCTCTGTACTCAAGTAGATGTGGCCATTTAATGGCTGGAAGGAACACATGTGTTTGGAATTAGAAGCTGAACTCCTCTGTCCCCAGAGCTCCATGCTTCACTTTGTGTCCCCAGAGACTCCACATGTGGAGAGGACAGAAGAAGGTGATCTTATCAGTGCTAGTGTGTGGATTCTCACCCTCTTTTTTTTTTAATGTGACCCACAAAGCCAGGATACCTCCATCTCTGTTTATATAACTTTAGCACTGTTCTTTCCTCCCCTATACCTCTCAGCATATTAGAACTATGTTTTGTGAATGTGATTATTGGAAAAAATCTGGCAAATCCCAGGAGATGACTCTGAAGACAGTATGAGTCTAGAGAGTTTTAAGAACCATAGAAATAAACTCTTGGCATCATATATTCATTGAACAGATTGCATTTATTTATTGAACCATTACTGTGTTGAATGCCTTAAGTGATAGAGAAGTTTTGTTTTTTTTTTAAATCCTTACTTGCAAAGAACTTATAATTTTGTTGGGAAAATAAGACAAATACATAGGACTAGAGTGACCTCCCTGAAACACAATATTAATAATTTTATGTTGCCATGAAATTACTAGAAAGAAGACCCTGAGGCTGGTAACAGTCTGGAAAACTTCTGAAGGATGTTAGACCCAGGTAAATAGGTGAAATCTGACCAGGAATGGTATAGCATTGATGGTAAGGGACATGTGAAAGAAAATATGAGCTGCAGTAGCTTGGCATATTATAGGCTGAGAAATGGTGGGGTGATTAACCTTCAGGAATGTGCTAAAGGGTGGTTAGAAGATTAATATGGAAACTAGGAAAGGAATATGCTACTGAACAGAAACTCCTGAAGGTTTTGAAATGTAGGAGTAAGAAGATAGGCTAGATGTTTAAGGAAGACAAGTCAGGTAGTGGCACGTGGGATAGATAAAGGTCTTGCAATTTGGAGTTTAGAAGACTGTGCATGTTGGACTGGATTTCCTTTTTCATTTTGTGTCAGTTTTGATGTTGTATTTTTCAAAGGCCATTCATGTAATTTAGTGAATTTATTGGCACAAAGTTGGTTAAAATATTTTCTTATTTTATTTTTAATGTTTATAGGATAATGATAATGCCTTCTTTTGTTTCTATTTTTGGTAGTTTGCGTTTTATTTCTGCCCCTATTTCTGGACTATTTTAGCTAGAGATTTATCAATTTTCTTGACTTGCTAGAGAATCCACTTTTACTTTTGTTATTTTTTTCCCTATTGCTTGTCTCTTTTCTTTTTATTTCCCAGTTTTACTTTTATCACTTTCTTATTTTTACTTACTTTGGGTCCTCTTTCTAGTTTCTCAAGGTAGATCTTTAGTCATTGATTCTAGATCTTTCTTTTTCCTAATGCAGTCATTTTAAAATATAAAATTTCCCCTAGGGCCTCCCCGGTGGTGCAGCGGTTGAGCGCTGGGTTGCAAAGCTGCCCGCAGCCTCTGCAGCGCTGGTTCAATCCCTGGCTGCTTCCCGGCTACCAGAGGAGGGTCCCACATGGCACACAGACCTCTCCTGCCGCCCCCTGCTCCCCTCAGCAGTGTATTTCGTCGGCCTGCCTGTTCTGCTCTCCACTCTGTCTGTGGTGAATTCTCTCACCCTCCTGCGCTTCTGACTGTACCCAGTGCTTATATAAATAAATAAATAAATAAATAAATAAATCTTAAAAAAAAAATTCCCCTAAACACTACTTAGCTGCCTCCAATAATTGTTTGACATAGCATGTCTTAACCATCATTGAATTAAAATTATTTCTAAAATCATTTGTGATTTCCCTCTAAGTCCTGTGTTTAATTTAAAAATATTGGCAATTTTTGTGGATACTTTATTGTTATCAGATACTTTTTAGTTTAAATGTGATCAGAGAACACACATGATAGTATATCACCTGGTGTAATGTTCTATAGAGGTCAGTTTGATCAAGGTAGTTGATGTTGTTCAGATCATCTTTTTCATTATTGATTCATTCTATCCATATGACTTATCAATCGCTAAGAAGGAAGTGGTTAAAAATCTCTAACCATTATTGTGGATTTGTCTGTTCCCCTACTTAAGTCTGTGAAACTTTGCTTTGTATATTTTCGAGCTCTTTCATTGGGTGCATAGTCATTTATGATCATTTTGTATTCCTGACAGATTGGTCTTCTTATTGTTATGAAATGTTCCTTTTTTTTAAAAAAAGATTTATTTATTTATGCGTACAAGAACTGGGGTACAGGGGCCTCCCTGGTGGCACACAAGGGGTTAAGCACAGTGCTCTGAGGCTGTCCGCAGCCTCTGCAGCGTGGGTTCAATCTCCAGCCGGCCAGGGAGCTGCCCACATGGCACAGCAGACCTCTCGTGGCTTGCCCGCTGCTCTCCTCAGCAGTGTACTTCAGTCTGTCTGCCTGTTCTGTTCCTCACTCTGTCTCTGGTGAATACTCTCACCTCCTATACCTCTGGCCTGTACCCCAGTTCTTGTATGCATAAATAAATAAATATTTGAGAAAAAAAAAGAACCACCAGAGACAGAGGGAGGAACAGAACAGGCGGATCGACTGAAATACACTGCTGAGGGTAGCAGCCAGTGAGTCAGGAGAGGTCTGCTGTGCCATATGGGTCACCTCCTGGGCCAGGGATCAAACTTGTGCTGTAGTGGCTGTGGTGAGCTTCATAGGTTGCATCTTAACCCCTTGTACCACTAGGGAGGCCCCTTATTTTGCTTTTTAACACTAATTCTTTGCATTAGCTTTTAGTGGATGCTCTAAGAATAAATTATGTATTTACAGTTCTCTTTGAGCAATTATTATATCACTTCCTATTAAATATTAGTACCTTACAACTTCCTATTCCCTGTACTTTATGCTGTAGTTGTCATATGTACTACTATAGCTTCATTCTTTTTAAACTCCACAATAGGGTAAAATATTTGTTTTTAACAGTCATTTTCGAGAAGAAAAAAAATAATGTTTGGCATTTATCCACATATTTATCATTTCTGGAACTTAAATTCATTCCTGAAATTGTCACTAACTCCCAAAGGAATGTCAGAGTCTAGTAATGTCTGGGAAATAGCACCTCTGCTTTTCATCTAAAGCAGTTCCTATTAAGGAAATATTAAAAAAAAAAATTGTATCCCAGAACCTGAAACCAGTTTTTCTAGACAACCGAGAAAAGTAAAATGGCCTTTACCTATTTGAATGGAGAAATGAGAAATGGAGAACATCAACCAAAGCGGAAGATTTTTCTGATCGAGCACCAGAGGACTTGTGGGAAATGATTCAGATCCTCATTAAGGTGATGACATACACATCCTGTGTTGTGCCCTGCACCTATCAGTGCCTAATAAATATTAATAATATTTATTCTCTCCTTTAGGTCAAGATTTGTCACCCTGCTTGTCTAGACATTGCTATTTAAAAGGAACTGTGGTTTGCTTATAGATACAATGCGTAAACATCTGAGCAGAGGCAGACAGGGCAGTAAATCTTGGTCAGAGCTACACTTTAAACTGTTGCAAGAGAGACTGCAAAACTGTTGTTGGAATAATGAAGAGGATGCTTGCTGCCAGGTTCCACAGTTCTGTCTCCAGCAGGCAGAGTCTAGCAGTAAATTAGCTTATGTTTCAGCTTGGCAGTTGGCACTTGGTTCATTTGTAGATGCTAATTGTAATCTGATGTTATCAGCAGCAGGTAATTGAAATGGGCTTGATGAATTACTTAATTTCTTTTAATAGCTGAGTCTTCAAGAACTGAATAAAGAAGATAAGGTGATCAGGAAGAAAACACAACAGCTCTATCTTTCTAATTAGTGCTTGGAGGTTTTTTCTTCTTTACACAAATGATTATGAACATGTGAGGCTGAATAGGTTTATGAGTCAAAAGCCCCCATGGGAGCATTTCCCATTAGGCAGCCCAGTCCTGAGCATTGATAACACTTCTGTTAGGACTTCAGAAAGGAACACATGAGTGATCATTTTGGAGAACATTGCTTGCTTTTTATTATTTTTAAAGATTTATTTATTCATTTTACACAAGAACCAGGGTACAGGCCAGATGTGCAGGAGGGTGAGAGGATTCACCAGAGACAGAGCAGGGAACAGAACAGGTAGACTGACAAAGTACACTGCTGAGGGGAGCAGTGGGCACGACAGGAGAGGTCTGCTGTACCATGTGGGACTCTCGCCGGCCAGCCGGGAATGAACCAGCAGTGCAGAGGCTGCGGACAGCTTCACTGCGCAGCGCCTGCGCCACCAGGGGAAGCCCTGATTTCTGAACACGATTTAGCTTTCCTAAATTTAAGTG